ACTGGTAATTTGTGAACTGCTTAGGGATTTACTTCTGTCTACAGTGATGTATGCTGAAGCATTTTAATTTCTGTTGCATTAGTATATGTATAATGTATAATTAAATTTCTGGGATGTTTTTTCTTCATAAATAAACGGTTTAACATCAACCATAACGTATTCAATCATTATGTTCAACACTGCTTTGAATAGTAAATACGTTTTATTATGATTTGTCAGCATAGTTGTGGGAGGGAAGAACGACTGCAATGCTAACCAGGGAGATGATATAAGTAACTGAAAGATAAAGGCCGGATCTGTGGCAGCTGGCGACACCTTCGACCACTTGGCCACCTTATGTAATGTATAATGTCCACTAAAGACACGACGAAAAGGCTATTGAGGGATGCAACTCATCATACTGACAACACATGTGTGATTTACCCAGGCCCATGTGAGTGAATGAGTTAATATTTAACGTAACATTGGCAAAAGTTCAGCAACATCGTAACAAAAACTTCTACATTGATAAAAGATATATTTAGATTGAAAAAAACTGTCATCGATGGACAGTATAATGACTATATCATCACAGATTTGATTTTAACACTACGAGGGGTTAGTGCCAGAAGCACGTATCTCCATTTTCCCTAGATGTGAGAAATCCCACTTCAAAAGTTTGAAATGGTGATAAAAAGCACCACTTGAAGTTTTATTAGCAATATTGTGTCCAGCCATTGTCAGTAAGTGTGCCAAACAGTATATTTTCAACAGAACATATATATTAACATGTAATAAAGATAACCTGAAAAGTATACGATGTTCTGGCATATCTCTTCCCCAAAGAAATTCAGCTAGACTTTCAGCCAAAGCGAAGTAAATAAAGGCAACTCCATCTGGCAGCATAAACATTATACAGGAAAGGGGAAATGTGAGGCCCAGATTCTTGTAAACAGAAGTGATACATTGTGTCCCTGATAAATGATAACATTTCTGCTTGCGTCAAATTACCCCACACACAGGACATAAGTTAATGCTTCAGACACTTTCTCAATGAGCAAGCCAATTAATAGCAATAACAGCTTATCTCCCGACAGCTGGTAACGGCTCAACCACAGAGTCTGCGTGACACACAGGCTGATACCATTACCCTGGTGTAAGCTGACACTCTAAAGCATCGCTTGCTTCAAACACGTGGTTATAATCACTTACCAGTTTTAACAATTATCTGGCATTGCCTAAAAGAACTAAAGGAATGTCAGTGTTGCCTTTACCAAACATTGTTCATTTTATTAATGCTGTACATTTACATTTCCATTGTTTGTTTCAAAACTAAAAAGTTAAAATAGTCTGCAAAATTAAGCTAATGAAAGGCTGTGATGTTAATGAGTGGAAATGTGTTCACACAAAGTTAACGGAGAAACGTTATTCTATAAATTATAGATGAATAGAAGATCCTTTTAAAACCTTTGAACAATTATTTATTTATGTAAATATATATTCATTTATATAACAATGGGTACATAGTTAGGTTATTATCTTGATGCCAGTATATAATATGTACAGAGAGGTAGATAAATAGATAGATAGATCTGTACCCAACGTTCAATTTCAGAATGGTGACATAACTCGCAGTATTCACAAAAAAATATAATACTTTTTCCAGATCAGCTTCATTCAAAGTCAATTTATGAACATAAAAATACTGCAATTCTTAAGATCAGTTATCTCAGATTGTATTCAGAAATCCAACCTAGCTGTCATATGACATTTTAATGTGGTTACAATCATTTCACGTTCCTAACTAGAATTCTTAGCTTGATCATTCACGCGATTGTTGTGGCTCACTAAAAAGGACATTAATAAGGAAGTAATGCAGGAACTTGTCAGATATAATATAGCCAGGATCAGCATTTCAGCAATGTCAGACTTCCACAAATCTGAGTCGGGTATTCATGTTTGACTGCGACATAGTATCTCAGCGGGCTGGCGCAATAACATTGGCATTAGTCTGGACTAGTACAATCACACGCACTTACGCACGCACGCGCGTACGCACACATAGCTATATTAGTGCGATAATGAACACAGCACCACAGTCACACATCATATTATGCAATGTCTGTGTCATAGTCTTCCTCCATAGCATCTGGTCCCGATAGACAATCAGATCTGTTACCAGTTAGGAGAGCTTTGCAGTACTCATGATATTCGCTTGGAATAATGCCAGATCTACAAAGAGATAACAAGCCTTTCTTCTTCGCATGTGATATTTCTTGCTTCCCAATGTACCTACAAGTAAGGGAGTTGGTTGTGTTCAGAGGTTTACCTCGTCTACTGCCTGCTGTAACCTTGATTTCTCTGAACTGCTCATCATTGTGTTCAGCTTTGAAGTAAACGCTGTCAGGGCTAGTCTTCATAAACCGCAGCCAGCGAATATTTAGCCAGTTAACAGTTTGATTGGAATAACGAGATAGGGGTCCTTCCTTCTTGCCATTCTGATAACAGTATCCCACTGGCTGGGGGACAAAAATACTTGTTTTCTTTTTGGATAATTCAATACTGGAGTGAATTGCATCGCACTCCATTTGGGTGTGTCCTGGCTCCAAGAATGTATGGTCAATGACACCAATGTGGTCAGTGGTAGTGACAGCAACATAGCAACATATTGGTTCCTATTCTGCCCTGTGCATGTATCTGAATACAGGATAACATGTTTGATGTTAGGAGGCATTGCTTTCAACTGTATTTGTAAACATGAGGCAATTTCGCATGAACCTCTCTGGGCACAGAAAACATGTACCGCTCTTGTGAACAGCATCATGCACTGTGAAATTATAACAATTCAGTTTTCTCATATAGAAAATTTCGCTTACTAGCGAACATGGCGTGTACAATACTGCCTTAAGGTCAAATGTCCCAACAAAGACAGAGGGCTCTGTCAAGGCATGTGCTTTGTCCTTAATCTTTGCCTCTCGAGCTCTGTTTTTTCTGGCTTGGTGTTCATTGAAATCCTTTGTTAATTGTTCTGTCAGGCAACCAGTGTCTCTTTCCCTGTAATATTGCTGACAAAGCAAACACTGGTCCTTCTTTGGTATATGGAAAGAACAAATATATTCTTTATTGAAGACGTTTCGTTAGATTACTGGTTCTTTGTTGTCTGCAGCACACCTTTCCTTATAAAGTTCATACATCTTTTTAATATTCAATTCTGGTCCTAAATAGTGCCTGTTTGTATCTTTTCTTGTGTAGTGGGCATCCATCTTGAAAATGACTCAATGAGTTGCCTCACTTTCGTCAAGCGATCACTGGCAGTTTTATTGTGTGGCTTATGTCTATCGCGACGTTCAGTGGATCCAAAGGTTCCCTGGCTCTTGTGCTGTAAGGCATGGCTGATGTATGACTCCCCAATGTCAAGAGTCTTCATGAAAAAATTCTTGCAAACAAGATGTCTAGTTCCTTCCCACTGTAGATTAAATGCCCGATAGACTTGTCGTTTCTTTTTCACCTTTTTTTCACTGTCATCCAGGTATGTACGGGATTTCTTTTCATCAGTGTTCGAACAAACAAAATCATTTTGCCTTTCATATGATGTCAAGCTTCTAAATGATTTAAATATACCGTGTCGAGCTTCTTCGGGGATCTTCTGGGAGCACTTATATCTACATTTTGAGCAGTCGACTGCTTTAACCGATTTTCCTTTCATGGTCTTCCCTTGCTGGTTTACATATTCCATTCCACCTAATCTCAACTGTTTCCTTTTATTTTTTAACCATGCCTCGGGCGTCGCACCTTTCTAGGAGGTGTATGGAAGGCTGCCGACTTTCTTGGAGTTGCAGATCGAGATGGGTTCTGTTTGTTTAGGGTTGATGTTGTATTACCTGATGACACTGTGTCGTCACCATGCTGTGAAGATACTGGAACTGGACTTGAAGTATTTGAAATGATCACAGGACCTTCTGGCATTACATGGTTGCGTTCATTTACAGCAGGACAAGAAAAATCAGAGATCCTGATGGATTGGAGACAACTTGCAGCTGATGTGGACGTTCCAGGACAGGTAGCTCTAGAAGCACCTGCTTCTGTTGTTTCATGTACTTGAGTACTGAGAAGATTTTGTGATGTTATTTTCTATCATTGTGTTTGACAAATGGTTGGCCAGTGGTGTGCATGCATCATAATGATCTTCAATACCTTTTTATGGGTGTAAATGCGAGGATTTTTCTTCTCTCAGTGCATTGTTGACGAATTGTGGGTTGGACATCAATTACAGGAGTTGATGCCTTGCTGGAGAAAATACGGACACAACGACCTGACCAGTTAGCAAGTGCTAATGGCAGGAAATCAGCAACCTTATTGGTGAAATATCGATTCATGCGAAGATGTTCCACTTCCAGTGAATAACTTTGCCATGTTTCCAGGTTGTTTTCCTCCACTTCAGCATAGAAATCGGAATAAGTGATGATATTATCATCAAGAAGATCACACAGTTGTTTCCTCAGTTCACATTCACTCACATTAAGTTGAAGTGCAGAAGCCTTAAAAAAGCAATTTCCATCAGCCGGTACCTTAAGTAACTTGTATCCATTACAATGCAGACGTTGTTCTAATCTCTCCGTGTGAAACTTTTTCATTTTAGATTTATACATGTAGTTGGTATGACTTTCATGTAATGTCTTCAGAACAACAGTTTCCACCAATTCCCCACTTGACCTTTCATGACATTTTCTATGAACAATATTCTTCTGATTTGGTATTCGCAATTCTGTTTCCGATTCAGTGGTGTCAGACGAGCATAAATCTTCTTCCTTCGGAAGGTACTCTTCTGATGATGTTTCGATGCTACTTTCAACATGTGTATGTCTATATTTCCCCAAATAAATTAAAGGTTCGTCATCAGAGCTGTCAAATTCATTTTCATTTCCTCCCTCACTGGTATTACTGGGACGTGGCTCTATGTAGTCTTGAGGGGCTTTCATATGCGCTGCCGACAAAGGATCTGGGTTGTCAGTAGTTTGTACCTGATTAGCATGCATGTTGGTTGCCGTCAATGGATCTGCGCTGTCAGTGGTTGGTAGCTGATCAGTTTCCATGTTGGTTGCCGTCAGTGGATCTTCGTTGTCAGTGGTTGGTAATTGATTAGCTTCCATGTTGGTTGCCGCCAATGGACCTAGGTTGTCAGTGGTTGGTAGCGGATTAGCTTCCATGTTGGTTGCCGCCAATGGACCTAGGTTGTCGGTGGTTGGTAGCGGATTAGCTTCCATGTTGGTTGCCGCCAATGGACCTAGGTTGTCGGTGGTTGGTAGCGGATTAGCTTCCATGCTGGTTGCCGTCAATGGATCTGGGTTGTCAGTGGTTGGTAGCTGATTAGCATCCATGTTGGTTGCCGCCAATAGACCTATGTTGTCAGTTGTTGGTATCTGATTAGCATCGATGCTCGTTGCCGTCAATGGATCTGGGTTGTCAGTGGTTGGTAGCTGATTAGCATCCATGCTCGTTGCCGTCAATGGATCTGGGTTGTCTGTGGTTGGTTGCGGATATGGTTCCATGCTCGTTGCCGTCAATGGATCTGTGTTGTCAGTTGTTGGTAGCTGATTAGCTTCCATGCTCGTTGCCGTCAATGGATCTGGGTTGTCAGTGGTTGGTAGCGGATTCGGTTCCATGTTGGTTGCCGTCAATGGATCTGTGTTGTCAGTGGTTGGTAGCTGATTAGCATCCATGTTGGTTGCCGTCAATGGATCTGCGTTGTCACTGGTTGGTAGCGGATTCGGTTCCATGTTGGTTGCCGTCAATGGAACTGGGTTGTCAGTGGTTGGTTGCTGATTAGCATCCATGTTGGTTGCCGTCAATGGAACTGGGTTGTCAGTGGTTGGTAGCTTATAAGCATCCATGTTGGTTGCCGTCAATGGAACTGGGTTGTCAGTGGTTGGTAGCTAATAAGCATCCATGCTGGTTGCTTACAAAGGATCTACGTTGTGAATGGTTAGTAGCTGATTAACATCCATGCTCGTTGCCATCAATGGATCTGGGTTGTCAGTGGTTGGTAGCGGATTTGGTTCCATGTTGGTGGGTGGTTGTGCCACATTATGGTGTAATATCTGATTGTTCTCGATAATATTGCAAGCTTCCAAAATGTCTTGATCTTCGAAGTCAGAATCAAACTCACTCATTTTCCAATGTCTATAGAAAGAAAACAAAAAAACAAAAGAAAACAATACATAGCACTGGTCTTGAAATATTTGTGTATGTGACATTATTTCTCAATTTACAATCTAACTTCATGTATCATATATTTACACTTATGTAAACTTTACATGTGTTTTTGAAAGTTGTTTATGTTAAAAACACAAGTATCACCCATGTCATTTACATACTAATTTATAGCAAAATTAACAAAAAAAATTCGCTGTGATTATCTGAAAACAACCAAGAACACACTAAAAGTTAACGAACACTGATTTGATAATGACTTAAACATAAAAATCGGTTATATAAATCATCAGACGTGTTGTTGCGTCGTAACTTTATAACAATATGAGAGATCAAATTTAATTTTTTTGTAAAATAACAGATAATTTAATTCAATTTACAGTTTTACTTACCTTAAACGTATTTATGTTGATGAAAATAATTTGGACTATGATATTTCCGTTGTAAGACGTTTGTGTAGTCGGGTTTATCTTCGTCGCCAGGACCAAGTAATGCCAACTAGTATAAGCTGACTGGAATTTAGCCCGGGGATCAGATATAAACATCCTGGGCCATAGAAGGCTAGCACCAGTTAACATCATCTGGTGCAGGGGGAGCGCTTATCTCTAATCGTAAACACAAACAGCCAGCACATCTCAAATGATTATCAGTTGTTACAGCTCTCCAATTAAAGGAGTCTAAAGCCTATTTCAGAGTGCTAGAGTGTGTCAATTCTCGATACGTTTTTCTGGCTTAATAGAATTGAGTGAAAACTTTAAGGTTGTGTATACCAGCGTGTAGTATTTTAGTATAGAACATCCTGGCGCAACACGAGAACAGAGTTAGGTGATAAGATGTTTATGTCTTGTTGAATATCTTTTAAAATATACAATGTAGTACATAGATATTTTGGCGTAGGATTATATATGGTCATACAATGTTTTGAAAGTCATAAAGTCAATTTTAATATTTTACAAGATAATGTGTTCCGACACTAACCCCTCGAATTGTTGATTTAAAATGTATTATCCCACTTCTGGTCTAAGGGATATGAGTAACAATACAGTAAAAAAATATCACCCTTTGCATTCCTATTCTGCTCGCAAGTTTAGACAGTCATTAAACATGGATCAAGTAATTCTTGTTTACTGTTTTGTCAGCAGGCGACAGGGATCACGTGTGCAATCATGTTACTATATAACCATAAATATTATACATATATAGTAACATGTATATATACTCTTCAAAAAAAAAGAAACTCAATACGGATACTATTGGCCATAAAAGCAAACTTAGCGGACTAAGAGGTGACGAGGTTTAATGTGTTATAGTGTCAGCGACAAATTTCCCGGATCAAAATGACAGCCAGGACATGCAAACCATTAGTCAGGAAACACATACAATTCGTAAAAACGCACCCAGTACATTAACAAGAAAGCCATGGCGCTGAACGCACTACAGCTGCAGCAGCAGTATGAACGGGATCAAAGTACAGGGTGTTTGATTGCCTGGCATCTGCGTCAACCGAACAGTGGCAGTTAAACAATATGCCAAGATTAACAGAAGTGCAAAGGAACAACGTAGTAGGCCGCTTGTAGGCAGGGGAATCCCGATCAGCTGTAGCCAGGATTTTCAATGTAACGCCCATCAACAGCTTGGGTCAACTCGTGATCGGCCAAGGTCAGTATGACCAAGAATATCCAACCCCGCCCAAGATGGCAACCTACGTGACAGGACGACCACAGCCATCTCAACAGCATCCCAAATACCCGGACTGCACAGAATCTCCTATCATACCGTACGAAACCTTTAAAGAACAGCAGGTCTACGCGTCATATTGAGTCGACAACATCGTCAACAACGACTGTATTGGTGTCGTCAACACAGAATATAGCCTCAACTGCGATGGAGAGATGTCTGGTTCAGCCACGAATCACGATTTCTTCTACTTCGATAGGATGGAAGAGCACGCCTCTGCAGACGTCGGGGAGAACGTTACGCCGGGAACTGCGTACAGGAATTGGACAGGTTTGGTGGGGGTACCGTTATGTTGTGGGCGGCTATCTCTCATCAGGGCAGGTCTATATCTACGGCAATCTTACGGCTCAGTGATCCTACTACACGTCCTCCCAATTGCAGCCAACACAACAGTGTATTCCAGCAGTACAACGCTCGACCGCATACAGCAAAGAATTGAACCCGATAGAGCACCAATGGGATGAATTGGATAGATTGCTACGCTAACGTCAACCACAACCCCATCCATTGCAGCTGTTGGATTGATATCCGCCAGTATAGTTCTTACCACTCGTTTTCCCCAACTGGTGATAAAGCTACAGGAGGTTCTTCTATCCTGGTGAAGCAGGGCATTTTCCATAGCTCTGTTCGACACAATACTACTCTACAAGCCGGTGTTGTCCCTGTTACTTTGAACATAGTGTTTACATTATGTTCATTGTATCTTCAACCTTCCTCAACTATTCGTCAATCAGATCTTCAGACTTTGTACGATCAGCTCCTGAAGCCCTGTATCATCATGGGCGATTTGAACTGTCATGATCCCTTATTGGGGAGTACTGATACACATAATAAGGGAAAAGTCCTTGAAGATTGTATCTCAAACAATGATTTATGCTTCTTCAATGATGGTAATGATACCTATCTTCATCCCGCCACTGGCACATACTCTGCCCTTGACCTTTCACTGACAGATTCAAATATTTTAAATGATTTTGAATGGTCGGTCCATGATGACATTTGTGGAAGCGACCATTTTCCAATGATACTTGCAACTATAAATCCGTCTGACGAACCACCGTCGACAAGGTGGAACTTTACAAAGGCCAATTGGTCTTTATTTCAAACACTAAAACTAAAACCAGACAGTTTCAGGAATGTTCCTGATCCTATACATCTTTTTTTTTCCTAATATATTGGAGATGAAAGCATTCCTAAGTCCTCTGCAAACCCTCATATACATGTACGTAAACCATGGTTCGATAAAAATTGTAAACAAGTTGGGAACAAATAGGAAGAGAGCTGAAAAATATTTCCGACGACATCCAACTGTCCACAATTTGAACAACGTTAAAATCAGGGGCGCTGAAGCAAAATGTACCTTTAAACAGAATAAAAGTGAATCCTGGAGGAACTATGTTTCAAAAATTAATTCCCGTGCACCTATGTCCAAGGTGTGGAACATGATTCAAAAGATTAAGGGCAAAGGATCTAAATCTGGAGTTCACCATATCAAAGATTTTAATACACTTTAACTACAAAATCCGAATTTGCTAACAAACTTGGAGACACTTTGGCAAACCATTCCTCATCATCAAACTACAATCCTCAATTTCAGAGGTTTCAAAAACAGCAGGAAAAGAAAAAAAAAGTACATTTTAACTCTGATAATGGTGAGGACTATAACGAAACATTTTGACTCTGCAGCAAGAGCCGACAACATCAACTATCAACTCCTTAAACACTTGCCCGATTCATTTTTGGAAACGTTACTTAGTATATTTGATGAAATATGGACATCCGGAAATTTCCCTTCTTCTTGGCACAATGCTATTATTATTCCTATTCCAAAGCCAGGATGGGATCATACAGATCAATCCAACTACCGTCCAATATCATTAACTAGCTGTGTTTGTAAAACCATGGAGCGCATGGTCAACAATCGATTAGTCTGCTACGTGGAGACCAATAACTTCCCGAGTGACATCCAGTGTGGTTTCCGAAAAATCAGAAGTACCATTGACCATTTGGTGCGTTTAGAATCGTTTTTTTTTAAAAATCCACTGTCAACAAACAACATACTGTATCAATCTTTTTCGATCTAGAGAAGGCATATGATACAACGTGGAAACATGGTATTTTAAAATATTTGCATGAATTTGGATTGAGGGGCAGATTACCTCAGTTTATATCTCAATTTTTAAACCACAGACAATTTTAAGTACGAGTGGGATCTACCCTGTCTGATCATTTCGATCAAGATCAGGGCTTCCCTCAAGGCAGCATACTATCAGTCCCCCTTTTTATGTTCCAAATATAATTCTCACAGGTCCATTTTTACAGACGGGTCCAAGGATGGTGGCAAAGTTGCAAGTGCCACCATCATTAGATCAAGAACTGTCACCTCAAGAATCCCAGATTTTATTTCAATCTTTACTATCCTAACAGCTTTGACCTATATTCAACAACAAAACCAATCTAAAAATTTCATTATCTCCTCTGATTCGTTATCTTGCCTTCAGGCATATCACCTTATCACCCTATTGTCCTTGACATTTTAGAACTCTATAATGATCTTTCTACTGGCCAATATGACATCGTCTTTTGCTGGTTACCAAGTCATGTAGAGATAACAGGTAACAAAAAAGCCGATGATGCAGCTAAAGCAGCTATTGACAAA